TCCATTTGTTGTATGTTCAGAACATATTTGTAAACATTTTCCTATGATGTGAGAAATGATTCATTTTATATGCTGTGTATATATGTATGTATAGTATATGTATACTTGATGTTACATGTGTAGATTATAATGATTTTATATGGTTATCTGCCAGCTTATGATGTCGTCGCGCTAATGTCGTTGTTTGTAGGAGCAGGAAGAGGTGGAGGTGGTTGGTTACTTTTAATCTTCATGTTTTAACTAGAACTTTACTCTAAGAGAAACACGATGTAACGCTGTTCTATTCGGTTTATTTGTTTGCATGCCTGCTTTTTAAGACCCTATCCAATCTATAATGCCCGTCGAGTCATTATGTTATTCACCATTGCTTTGTGCCTTTTGTTCATCTTCGGATTCTGATTCTGTAAAGTAAAATGAAATATTCCTCTGTGTGAATTATGCGAATTTTTTCAAAACTAAGTTATGTATATAATTTTTTTTTGTAAAAGTCTTTATTGGCCTAATAAATCTATATGTTGCAACGCAAACTCCGATTTTTAGGCAAGCAAAAGCTTTAAAATTTGCTTTGGCATTTTTTGTTTACAATGAACGTGTTGATTTTCAACTAACACACGCTCATTTTCGGCAATGCAATTTCAAAATATAATGCAACAAAGTAATACAATATAAGTTTCAGATTACTAACTAACCTTCTTCAGCAGATTGCAGCCATTCGACAAATTTTCGCATCTGTTCCAGGAAATGCATTTTACCCTTACTGGAGTGGGCATCTTTGTACCATCTGAGTATGCTCTCTTCTGATAATACTTCAGCTATACAAAATACAAACATGTTAAACAACGATTTTTACAAAACAGCTGTACTTACTTTTGTAGAATAGCAATATGATCTTTTGGAAGGCCTTCATGAAGTTCATGTTTTCATAACAGAACTCTTGTACCTTCAATATCAGGGCCAACTCAGAGCGATCTGTTGAGGCAAAAGCCTGCAGCAATGGACAATAGCCTTTGAGATGTCGTACCGCCTGATCGGTGACCAACTCTTCCTTCTTGTTCCATTCACCGAGCGACATTATAGTCGACCAAATCTGTAAATTTTCGTATGATGTGTTAGGTTAGTTTTTGTTTACTAACTAAATTTCGCTTACTTACAATGATTATAATCTCGTGATCGGGAATGTTATTTCGCTGTGCGAATTCTTTAATGTCTGCCGTGATCTCTGAATGTGCTTTTTCGTCATTGATATCATCGATAAGCGTTTGTTGGAGTTCACGCTTGGCCTCTTGACTGGCCTGTGCTTTGTGTAATTTTATGATTTCGGTAAGATCCTTTTCAAGAAAAACTTGTTTTAAATATTCTTCAGTACGTTTGTTTGGTGGGAAAAAGTCCATTAATCTGAAAAATATGAATGAAAAAAAAAAAAACATTCTATTTTTAATATTCATAAGAAAAATAACTGATATTATAGAGATACATATTACGATGTAAACATTGTTTGAAATTCCATTGAAACCCGAAGATGCGCTGGACATATTCGCGTGTGTAATAAAACCTCATTTTTTCTCTTGGAGAGTTAATTAATGAAATTAACTGGTGAAGTTATTAATTTCAACCTGAAACCCTCCAAACAAATGACACTTTCGAGTAATGTATTTGCGTGTAAAAGTGATTATTGGCCAATGTTTCTATGATAACTGCAGAAGTTTGGACACCCAATCACTTTCATGTT